TTTTTTCAATTAACAGCACCTTTTTTAAAATGAAATTTGCTTTTCTTTTAATTATTGCCTGCACTGGTCTCAGAACTTACCAACTATTGTGTATTACACCTTAAATTGTTATCGATTACAATAACTTCACTTTCCTAGCAACTAATTATATTTGTGCATTTTGATTGATGAAGGCTTGAATGTGAATTTAATAATTAATAAAAACATAAAAAGGCACTGAAAATTAAGAGTAGATAAGTTGTAAATAATGAATAGGCATTTATTTCAGTTTGGCTTGTAAAAAAAAGACAAAAAAAATACATGTTTTACTTACATATTTTTAACCGTTTTAGTTCGTACATATGTATGTATGTACATATGTATTTGAATTTCATGTTTGTGCATGAATACAAACAAGCCAAAAAAGCTTAAAGATATTTTTAAACTTTTATTTTTAATTAAAGTGCTTTAGTTATTAACATTTAGAAGACTATTTTTTCAAAAAAGATAAAAATATATTATTTGCTGCAATATATTAATAAAATTTAAAGCAAAAGTCGACAATGCACTTACGAGCATTTCCATGTACATACATACATATGTATGTTTCTATTAAAAAATAATTGCATATTTCAATGTCACATGTTTAACTAGCCACTGCAATCAATTTTCTGCTTTCGTTGCTTTAGTTTGCCATAAATGGTAGCACTAACATCCTAACTGCCGCGCTAATAATGTGCAAAAAAGCAATTTCCTTTTACCTTTCAAATACCAGTCACGTTTTTTCGGCAAAACTTTGTGAAACGTTCTATGTATATCCAAAGTTAGAATCTAAAAAAGTATATTTGCTAAAAAGAATGTGCAATTAAAATATTACCACACATTGAAAATGAGTACAACTATTAGAAATATTTATTAAGCACACACAAAAACATGCTGAGAAATTCCTTGCAAAATCACAATAAAGCCGATATCTATAAATCATTGTCAAGTGTATAAACAAACATAAACCCTGTAGGAAAAAAATATGTTAGTGAAAGGTATATGGAGCGCGGCATTAATAGTAAACACCAATCTGGCAGCCACTATGTAGCTTTTAATTATATCAAATTAGGCTGTAAAAGGTATTGATATTTCGTCCAAAAGTATGTGTGAAGTTATGTAAATTGTTCTAATGGATCGATTTCACAGAAATAGTTTTCCCTACAAGGAGTATACATACTATATATAGCAAGCTGTCGCTTTTGTATTACATTTAGATATGTATAGGCTCCGGATAAATTTATATACATACATACATACATATATGTAAATATGTAGATGAGAACAAACATAGCGGCAATTTATCGTGACTATTTGTGTTGGCAAATAAATAATAATAAATTACTATTTCGAAATTGTAGCACAATTGGCTATTAATACGTTAAAGTATAGACAAGTGACGGAGCCTGGCTTTGTGTAGCTGTATGTGTATATTTAGATATTTAAATACCAATACACATAAATTACACTATAAACCATTTATTGGCTCTGTGTGATAATTTGTTGAGAAAATGTATCGCTTGTTTGTATTTATTACATGATGTTAATTATTCCTCCCTTTTAACGTTTTTTGATTTAAATTGCCGATACCAAAAAATGTATATCTATGTATATACTCTGAACAGAGTGTTTGTATTAAGTTTGCCATGCAGTTGGTAATATCTAAAGGAAACGCCGGGAATCCTATAAAATGCATATAGTAATGATCAGCGCGTGGAGCTGAGTCGGTTTTGTCATGTCGGTCTGCCCGACTATACACGAACTAGTCCTTCAGCTTTTAAGATAGTATTTTGAACGCGGAATTTGCTCCACAAGAAGTAGCTCATTTGACGAATCACCGGTATCGAATCACTATAGCATAGTCGCTTGCAAAATCAAGTTCTTATATGGAAAACTTTCTCATTTGTCTATCCTCATGAAATGGCACGGTTTATTTATCAAGTCAACGGTACAAACTGTTCAAATTGGACCGTTTTAGCATGCTAATACAAACAGGCCGATCAAAATCAAGTTATTGTATGGATCCTTTTTTATTTCCGAAGACTATCATAGCTTCAGGTTATGTGTGAAGTAAATGAAATCATGAAAATATAATAATTATTAACTGTTCATATGAACATGATTTTTATACTCTCGCAACAAAGTTGCTAAAGAGAGTATTATAGTTTTGTTCACATAACGGTTGTTTGTAAGCCCTAAAACTAAAAGAGCCAGATATAGGGTTATATATACCAAAGTGATCAGGGTGACGAGTAGAGTTGAAATCCGGATGTCCGTCTGTCCGTCCGTCCGTGCAAGCTGTAACTTGAGTAAAAATTGAGATATCATGATGAAACTTGGTACACGTATTTCTTGGCTCCATAAGAAGGTTAAGTTCGAAGATGGGCAAAATCGGCCAACTGCCACGCCCACAAAATGGCGGAAACCGCAAACCTATAAAGTGTCATAACTAAGCCATAAACAAAGATCTTAAAATGAAATGTGCTAACAAAGGATCGCATTAGGGAGGGGCATATTTGGACGTAATTTTTTTGGAAAAGTAGGCGTTGCCCCGCCCCCTACTAACTTTTTTGTACATATCTCGAAAACTACTATAGATATGTCAACCAAACTGTATAAGGTCGTTTCTTTTAGGCATTTCCATGTACAGTTCAAAAATGAAATAAATCGGACAATAACCACGCCCACCTCCCATACAAAGGTTATGTTCAAAATAGTACGTTAACCGACTAACAAAAAGCGTCAGAAACACTAAATTTTACGGAAGAAATGTCAGAAGGAAGCTGCATTCAGGCTTTTTTTAAAAATTGAAAATCGGCGTGGCGTCGCCCACTTATGTACCAAAAACCATATCTCAGGAAGTACTCGATCGATTTCAATGAAATTCGTTATATAATATTTTCTTAACACCCTGGTGACATGTACCAAATATGGATGAAATCGGTTCACAACCACGCCTGAAATCTCGATTATCACTTTATCATGCGAGAGTATAAAATGTTCGGTGACACCCGAACTTAGCCCTTCCTTACTTGTTTTATTAATACTTCACTTTCAATTTTAATAAATATTCCGTTTCAGATGTTTTCCTTAAATTAAAATATATTTTTATTCCACATATTTTTTTTCTTATCCCACTTCTGATTTTAAAATTCACTTTATTGAATGTCCTTTCCTTATTTCTCTACTTTTTTAGCACTTATTTAAGACAGAAAATGGTTCCCATAGTTAAGAAAGTAAGCAGTTACTACAACTCCTATGCGTTGGCCGTACTCACAATTGGCTATGTACTCGGCGAATTGGGTCATTATCTCATCGGTGTTACTTCCAAACAGACCGCCATTGAATTGGATTATGGCGATAAAGCTTGTCAGCAGAATAATACCATGTTCACACGTTACGATCTACCGCAGCAATGTGCGGCGGTGATGGAAGAAGAAAGGTATGCAACACATGCAGCTAAAATTTTTTTGTACAGTTCTTTAATTTTTTTATTTTTTTTCAACAAATTGCAGTTGTGTTGCTTTATCAATAAATGACACCGCATACTGCGAATGGAACTACAATGGTTTGGGTATTGATTATCAAATACTTGCTGGCCCCACCTTCATATTGGTCTTTACAATTGCTGGTGTCTTTATGGGTTTCGCGGCAGATAAATACAACCGTGTCAAAATGTTGACAGTTTGTACTTTAATCTTTGCGGTCGCTATAATATTGCAAGGCACTGTGGGCGCCTACTGGCAGCTGTTGCTGTTGCGTATGGTCATGGCATTAGGGTAAGGCTTCAACATTTTGAAACTTGTATTTAATATGCATGTTTATTGATTTAACTCTCTTCTTTACAGTGAATCGGGCTGTAATCCGTTAGCCACTGGTATCATGTCCGATATTTTCCCCGAAAATAAACGCGCACTTGTTATGGCCATTTTCAACTGGGGCATCTATGGTGGTTATGGTATTGCTTTCCCTGTGGGCCGTTATATTACCAAATCGAATTTCTTCAATCTGGGCTGGCGTATGTGTTACTTGGGTACTGGGGTGTTGGCCGTGTTGGTAGCCGCGCTCACCGGCACTACTCTTAAGGAACCAGAACGAAAAGCTATTGGCGAAGCCGATCGCACTAGTGATGGCAAAAAGATTGGTTTATGGAAAGTGATTATCAATCCTGCTATGATTATGTTGATGATTGCCGCTTCCATCCGTCACTCTGGTGGCATGACCTTTGCCTATAATGCTGATCTCTACTACAACGCTTACTTCCCTGATGTGGATCTCGGCTGGTGGTTGTTCGCCGTTACCATTGGTGTTGGTAGTGTCGGTGTGGTTGTTGGTGGCGTTGTCTCCGATAAAATTGTCGCTAAAATGGGTATACGCTCACGTGCTTTGGTATTGGCTGTTAGTCAGCTGATCGCTACATTACCCGCATTCGGCTCGGTATACTATGATCCGCTATGGGCTATGATTACTTTGGGTTGCAGTTACTTCTTCGCCGAAATGTGGTTCGGTATCGTGTTTGCAATTGTTGTGGAAATTGTGCCATTGCAAGTGCGTTCCTCAACCATTGGCGTATTCTTATTCGTAATGAACAATGTTGGTGGTAATTTGCCCATCCTGTTGGACCCAGTTGCTAAGATGATCGGTTTCCGTGAGGCGTTCATGATCTTTTATGCAGGCTTCTATGGCATAAGTATGTTCGAATTGTAAATAACAATAACCGATAGCCAATTACTAACTCTTTTGTTTTTTCTCTACGCTAAAATAGGTTCAGTGCTTTTCTTCATTACCTGTTTCTTATTGGAAGGCAAACCAAAGGACGTAGATTCTACTACAACAGCTACTGAACAAAAAATCGATGGTCTGGAGGCACACACACGTCAAATGCGCGGTCATGACAATTCTGTGTTCTCAGTGGACGAAGTGCTGCCGCATAATGGACGTCCCGCGGTGATTCCACAGCATTTGCAGTTGTCGAACAATGGTCAAGACAAATATACGCCCGCCACACGCGAGAGCAGCAGACTGTAAAGCACCCTTTGAAGCCAACGACTTAGGAACAATGTGTTTGAGTTTTATTTATCTTAAGTACAGCAAGTGAGTAAAGAACGTCTTGTTAAACTTGCAGAATATGACACTTTACGAATTCTCTATAATCTAAATGTACCTCATTCGTAGTGCGTATTTTACTGTATTAAGTTTACAATGATTGGTTTTTGAGTGTTTTTATAATGTTGAAAAAGTTGTGAAAAAGAAAAGACAAGCAATTGTTTAAAATTGTTGTTAAATATTTTAGTTTGTTAAGTGAAATGACAAAGTTTTGTAATTATAATAGATTGCATGATATTATTAAAGTTTTTACTTAACAGTTGCTGACAGCTTAATTGAATATTAAGTCTTAAACTGTTGGCAATTATTAATTAGATTAGTTAATAGCCGTAAATGTTATCGATTTTTAAAGTATTTTCATTACATACTAACTATGTAGTTGTGAACACCAATTTAATTAATAGTTAGAATAATTGCAAAAGTATTTTGTACATAACAAATAAATTTTTTACTTATAGTAGTTTTTTAAGCAATTCACAAAAAAAAATTTGTATTTTTTACTAGTAGTTGTGAATGTAAGTATTTGCCCGTATATACATACATATGTACATATGTGTTTCTATTAACATGCATGTTTACTGTGCTAATAGCTTTCCTAATGGTTAGACGAAATGCTCTTAGTCTGAGTTAACACACGGATTCTCACCATCGACAAATTCTCTTTTGGTGTCTCACTCATGTACGCGATGTATAAAAATATATATTTTTTAGTAGCTAATTTTTAACCTTATCACCTCTTTTTATAACGTTTCTATTGTAAAAATCGGTCTTGACTACAAAAGAGTACGTATGTGAATTGGTACTTACATTTATTTTGTGAATTCTGGTGCTGACACCTTTGTACATATGTACAACCGCCTTCGAATGGTTGTGTTTTCTGTGTCAAAAACTTTTCAGGTTAAAAATATTTTTTGGACTTTTTCATTGACTTGTATGAGCAGTCATCTGTAAAGTATTAAATATATTGTTATGACAAACGCCTTGCAAAATACAAATTGTATTCATACGCGTTTTTACCTAATATGTAGCCTTTGGAGAGTCGATAGGTCGTGATATGGCCCAGATATATGCTTTGGATTTGTTTGAAAACATAACTCCCTCTATATTTAAAACTGAACTGTGTGTTGGTGCTATTATTTGTGGAAACATCCAGAATTATAGCTATTTTTCAATAAAATTTGCCTATTTAATTGTCAGTTGGACATACGAAAGAACAGTTACTAGATGGCGCTGAA